TCGCTTAATCGTTATGCAAGCGAAATTGAAACGGGTTAAAAACGAATGTTAAAGTTGATTCATGAAGTAAGGGTTCGCCTTGGTATCCGATTTTAGAGAATTCCATGAATTCGCTACGGTAGCCCGTTTCTGAACGGAGCATGGCGTCGCCTGGCGTCTCGAGAGAGACGGCCAGATCTGAGGCCTCTGAGCGGAGTCGTCGTAAGGCAAGATGGAACGGTTTTAGCGAGTTCCTCGCGAGAAGAAGACGGCCGAAGAGAGTTCGGGTGTTGAAGAGGTGCAACGCGATTAGGTAGTCTGTTCTTTGAGCTTTGAAACCGTCCCCACCGACAGACGACGGGGTACTTCGTGGAACGTTCGGTTCTCGACGAAAACCATACTCTCTTAGGATAAAAGGCCAGGGCTCGATGTCTCGTTGAATTATCGCTCTTTTGACATTCCGAAGGATAACCAGAAACTCCGAACAGATTCCTCTTAGAAGATTTCGATTTTTTCTAAGCACTTCACTTTTCTTTATTTTCTCAATGCTAAATTATATCATTTCGACGAGAATTAGAAATTAAACTTTGTATATGCCGTCTAATTGAACGGAAGAAAACGTCATTCCTATAAATACTGTATTTGTCTACATAGCCTGAATGTGCAGAAAATATAAAGAGTGCATGTACAAAATCTGACTTATTGACATTACAAATGTTTTACTTTAGAGAGAAATCCGCGTTCCAAAATCCATCATCAATCGCAGTTTCCTTTGTCTCAGAATGAGAGAAATAAAGAGGAACGTTTAGTTTCGAGCGAAATAAGGAAGAAACCGACTCGCGTTAGGGTCAGCCTCGAGCATTTTTCCTAGAAGTACCCCGGTCGAATCGACTACACTCCGTGTGGTCGTGTGTTCCTTTTTAAGAGTAAATCCCTATTAAAAGCGTAGCCAGCCACCGACTAGCCTAGATATCGTGTTTTCCCGCTTTAGAAGTGACCAGGGAGAGAGAGCTGGTCGAGTTTCCCATCGCTGTACCCACCTAGGTAGATGCACGTACTTACTTACTTAGTACATACACTCCTGTACATACGATGTGTCACCCAATATGTTTTATCTTTTTGTCGTTCCGTCTACCGGAGCACGTTCGATCGTGGTCTTCGTTGTTTCTTGCTATTTCCAGCGTTCTTGATCGACGGTAACGCAGTACACGCGATACACACAGCACGATCATAATTGTAAAAACGTTACGTCTGTTCGACGTATCATTCGGCGTCTATCAATTTTTAATACCGCCGTAGCTGGGTGTCAGAGTTTATCAAACCTATTTTTTGATATCAAGTCACGAACGTTATCTTATCAAATAAAGGAACAGCAGTGACATGATACATAAAATGCAAGTCTGATAAAAATTTGGATTCGATATTGCCCCTCCGACTTTGAGTCATTCGTTTTACTCACATCTGTTCACATTTAAGGATGTATTGGCTATATAGTCAATCCCAAAAGTTTATGTACCTGAGAAAAACGCATTTCCTATAATTAAAAATTGTGCAGTTTTCTTCTAATTTCGATATTTAATGAGTTAAGTATGATTATTTGGCATTTTATTGATGTTGACAAAATCCGACCATACCAGCGTCGAAACGGCGAACTTTTGGAAAAAAATTTCGTTTTTCGTCAATAACTCTTAAACCCTTGGAGATACGGGAAAATTGCATAGAACCTTTCTTGTAGAGGATGACGAGATCTACAATTCGTACTTAAGTCGGGGAACGGTTAAAAGATGTGAACGGTGTCGCGGGCGTTCCTCGGAGCCGATCCTCTGAAAAGAGTTCACGGAGAAAGCACGTGAACTCGTTTACGCACATGTGCTCCAGTAGGTACCGAGCCGCGATATCTACATATCTCTCGTACACGTATTGCGTGCGCGTTTTCTGTTGTCTTTTGTCCAGACGCGTATATTGTCTCGGTTCTCTACACAGAAACGCGAAAGCACAAAACCCGGGTGAATTCACGTGGGCCAGCGTTTGTGAACCTTCGCCTTCGTCGCGCCTCTTGTTCTTCGCTCCCTTCCGTTGCCCTTGTAACTGGATCCATGGTTAGTTAATAAAAAGGAGAAAGAATCGTATTCACCGCCTCAGTAAGCTGATCGAGTTCCTCGAATATTTCTGTCGAACCTTCTCCCATTCGTCGTCATAGTACGAGTCAACGAACAATACATACGCTAATCTTATGTAGAATCGTAAGGCAAAACGAATTTTAAATTGTATCCAAAAGTATTAAATGAAGATAATGTTCGATCTTTTAAGCAGTCCCTAAATAAAGACGCACACATGATAAAATTGTAGATAGTCCAATAATGGAAGTCCTGATCAATGTTAAGAAAGTCTCCAACAACTTCTAGATTTTATGTTGAAAACTGTCGCCTTTGGGAAATGAAATCTCGTTGAACCATTTTTTTTTTTTTTGCTATCCGTAGTAATTCTCAGTTAAACGATATTTCCCTTTGTAGCCGGCATAGTAATTGCAGTCTCCTTCGACGAGGTCCACTTGATACCTACGTACTACCCTTGCAAAAGGTTAACAAGCTCTACACCGACTGATGCTTTTCTAAAACAGCCTCTCGCGGGATAACGAGATTCGAACGATGAAACTGGAAAGAAAGGGGATTCGTTCTTGTTCTTTAGGCGGTCGTGTTTCGCTTTCCCTCAGCGTGGGGGTGCATCGTTGAACAACCTGCCGTGTCTTTTATCCGTGTTCCTTTGCAGTAAATAAGGAATGGAGAGATGCTCCGCCAGACGTGAATCGCTTTTCAGATTTAATATTAGAAATTTTTACAAATGTTTAAGCTAGGTATAAAATAATATACATATTTTAATAAATTGAGATTGAAATGTAAAAATATTCAAGGAAAACGTCGAACGAAAATACTGAAGCTCATTTTAATTTAAAAAAACCGTGATTACGAGAATTATAATTTGAATAAACATTAAAATTGTAGTAGAATATAATGCAGAATAGAACGAGGTACTTTTTGTCGGACGATTTTATGAAAATTGATGTCGAATTAACGTTAATAGACTCGCCAATTGCTGCTGGCAATCGATAGTTCGACCTCAGCTCGATGCCCGTTTGAAATTTCTTACGCATTATTCACACCGCTCTCGTTGGACCGGTAATAGCTCGGGAATGAATGCAAGAGCCCGAACCGAACCGGGTAATGCATTCTAGTAAATTTTCTAAGCCTTTCAAACCCTTCCCGTATTCGATTTCTTAATGAACGCTTTTCCATTGCTTATTTCCCTCGCCTGATCGTTCGGCTTATTTCTGTCATCGTTTAACGCGCAACGTCGTCGCCACGCCAAGAATTATCACGAGTTCCGAGTGTCGCGTGTCACGAATAATCTCGGGTGGGCGCCAGCTTCCGGATCTTGATAAAAAGTTGCCGACCTCCGGGGAAACTCGCGACGAAACACAGCAATCAAGATCCGAACAAAACTGTGACGGCAACTCGGACTTTCTGCAACTCCCGGTTTCCTAATCTGACACAGGCCGTGCTATTTGTTTTGAACGCCAATACCTTTCAGGGAATTCAAGTGAAACAGAATTTATGTTAGACCTCGAGAATTTAGAACTACCCCATTACAGTTTTCTTAAATCGATGCTATTCTTTACTCGCTACATACCTGCTTTAAATGATATACGTATGTAACGCGAGAAGGAGAGCAGCTCGTGTTACATTTAAAAAAGTATTTTCAGTCGACTACCGAGCCGAGGAAAGAAGTTCTATGAAACCAGATGTTATTAAAGGTCCTAGTGTGCTTCGAACTTGAAGTTCGTAATTATCATGGACGGCGTTGAAGGGGTGAAGTCCCCCTGTCTCAGGACCTAGCGTCGCGTAAATTTCCACTTTTACGGAGATTCTCCTCGCGCACGTACCTCCACTGACCGCAAGCTTCTGCTTTTTATAACGACGTTGCGTTCATTCTTAATAAAGAAACCTCTAATCCATACGACCCGTGCGCGAGGAAACAACTTCATGCGATAAAAGTAATTGCTGGCCTGTGTAACATGTTAATTTCGCGTATTATCAGAGAATAGAATTACTCAGAACTAGCGTTTGTACGTCGCAAAGAAAGCAAGCGTCGATCGACGGGAGGTAAAAGGAGGTTCTTCGTTTTCGAAGAATTCTCCGAAGGGAGGAACGCGGCTTCTAATTGCAAGAACATTGGTGAGAGAGCAGTAATTTTCGGCTGACCTCGATTGCGTGTAAGAAACGCGTTCAGGTAACTCGTTATCTCCACCTCTTAGGTTAATTCCTCTCTTCCGTGGCTCGCGTACAACCCTGACCACATGTATATACGCGTGCACAGACATGCATTGTACCGTTCCTGTAAAAATTTAGCTTAGCCAGGCACCGCTTCTCCAGCAATTTGCTCGCTTAGTCCCGTTGGCACCCTTAGCAGCACACAGATATTTCTGCTCCCTGAATACCATCTAAGTATCTTCACCGTTTGCTCGCCCCTCCTCTTCTTTCCTCTAATTAATTTACGAAAATCTCTTCTTTTGTCTACCGCTTTGGGACACCGCAACGGTTTAATCCCTGTGTCGCGAACTGGAATTTAAAACGATGAATAAAAAGATATCCAGCTATGGAGTAAAAGCTAAGAAAGAAACATGTGAGTTTAGTATATCTAAGACTGTTCGAAGGTTGCTAGAAGATTGATATCCGTCGTATCCGATGAAAATTGGTGTCAACCACTCTCGGCGGTGTTCCAAGCGGGTTGCGCTCGCGTCACTTTGCTCTATCCGCAAGTGGCGCGAGCCGAACGCTGATGAATAGGGAAAGAACAACGGTGTTCCGTCGCGAAAAGAAAAGAGCATAGAGAAAAGAAGGGATAAGGTGTGCGCTCTCCTCGAGCGCGCATCGAAAATCGTTGAAGGAGGACAAAAGAGGTGTGCGACGGTTTTACACGTACACGTACTAAATAATCTTTTTTTTTTCTTTATCGTTGTGCAGGTCCCGAAGGCGTAGCAACGGTGGCGTGACGGACATACACTCGCAGCAGCAACAGCAGCAGCAGCTACAGGAGAATAATAACAGCAGCTCGCGGGACGCGAAGAAGCCGCAGGAGGGGCTGGGTCCCGATGAGATGTGGGCCCCTGGCGGGCTAGGGCCTCACCGGGAGCTACCAGTCGACGTGCCCGACACCCTCCTACAGAAGGCCTACCCCAACAAGGTAAAGAACTGCTCCTCCGATTACCGGAACGAGCTTCGTGGTCCCCGTAGCGCTAGCGACCTCGACCTCTCCCTAAACCTTAGAAACGACACCCTTAAGTCGACCGGCACGCGGATCCACAACGTCGACGACCATCGCGGCCGTGCTAAAATCGCGACGCCGGTCGAGTCCACGGACGTGACCGACGCGACCGTCGGTAGGCCGCGCATTAAAAACGGTCAGCCACCGCCGATGGTGAAGATCGAATTGAAGATCGGATCGGGGAATCTCGAGGACGAGGAGGAGTGCGAGAAAAGCAAAAAGGAGCCGGGACAGGAGCGGGACGGTGACCAATACAAGTACCAATCAGCGCTAGCCTCGCTGGATCTGAAGAATACTTTCAAGGGCTTCGAAGAAGACGAAGAGGACGAGGGAGTGAACGAGGACACCAACGGGCAAAAGGAGTCCAGCGTGGACGTGGACGTCGAGGAGGATTATCCTTTCGCCAAGGAGGACTACCCGACGATGCTGAAAACTTGCAGCGACGATTCGGCAAGTCCGAGGAGCTCTTCCGGGAGGTCGGATAGTACCGCGCCTCTGGATAGTAGCCTGGTATTGAGACATGCGAAGAATCCTGGAAAGGATTCGCCTACATACGATGCCAGGAGAATCGATCTCGGCTCGCCCTGCAGACCGGTCGTCGCAGAGATCAAAATGCCTCTTTTCGGGCGTACGAGAGAGACCACGTCGTTCGATAATCCTGCGTACGGTCTGGCCGATCTGCAGGATCTGCAGGGACTCCTGATGAGGTCCGACGAGGTCTCTGACTTGACCAGGCTGATCGACGAGCAATGTACGATTCCGAGAATACCTCGCGAACAAGATAGAGTGTCTCCGTCCCGCGCGAAGGATCAACGCGCCAATGAAATGCAATCGGAAACGATTCCATCGAGCAAATCGAAGAGCTCGAAGCCCAGGCGGCAGACGGACGAACGTGCGAAACTGAAGGCAAAGACGCGTAGTTTGGACGTGGAAGAGTTGATCCGCGCCAGTTCGAACGACGATCTACTGGGTATCGAGTCGGGCAGCAGCCTCTCCTCGTCCTCGAGGCAGCGAGCGAAGAAAAAACGACACCAACAGATATCGAGCGGATACTCGACCCTGAGGAGCGACGCGTCAGCCGATCTCGAGCACGTCGATCGTAGCTTCTTGGTCGTCGGCGGCAAGACCTACCGCGAGGTCGCCGTCGACTGCCCGCCTGATTTCGTCCCGGTGACCAAGTGCCACCCCGTCTACCCTCCGCCGAACAGGACTCCCGGCAACAGCAAACAGAACACGCTTGAGCCGAAACGGGAGCGTAACGGGACTATCGGCAGGAACAATAACGTAAATAATGTTGGCACGGTGGCCGGGGACGACGGAAACGCGTGCACCACGAGCACGACGATCGCGTCATCCACGCCCTGTCCGCGATCCAATGATCTTAATTGCTTGACGAGCGGCGACGAAAGCGTCGCAGAGAACGTAGTCGCTAGATCGCTAGACAGAAAACGCGACTCATCCATGAAGAAGGTAAGGTCCAAGGTCAAGAGTTTGCTTCTCGACAGCTTGCTTTCTATCGTGCACCATGAGCCGCGCCATCAACAACACGCCACCGACACGCTTCCACACGCTGCTTCTTCCGCTGCTGCGACGCACCATCCTAACAATACCTCTGACGCGTTCCTAATTCGCTCTAACAATGAACAGCTTCGGGGCTCCGGGTTCTTGGTACCACGATCGTCGAACTCGATCGTGCGAAACGACGCCGGTTCATTATCGCTGCCCTCCAGCAAATACTCCGCCTCCACGGATAATCTGATAGCTGCCCGTAGAAATCTGCAGGTGCGTTTCTCCTGCGATCTGACCGGCGGCGAGTCGTCGCTCTCGTCCGGCCGCTGCAGTATCGTTTTCCCGGATCGCCTCGAGCCGAGTCCCGAGAAGGAAAGCTTCTCTGGGGGTTCCCTCGAAGACGACTCGTTCGTCAATAAGAATTCATCGGTGCAAGGTACGCCCGCGTGTTTGTCTTTTGTCCAAGAAACCAATCAAAACTGTCGCAATTCCCTGTGCGAATTTTCACGCGGCAAGAACCGTTCTTTCAATCTCGCAAAATCAAAATGGGGAACCCAGAACGACGGGAAGAAGCTTTCCGTATTCGACGATTCCCCTAACGCGCAAAATCGCACGAATTCCCGATTGTCCCTTGAGTACAAGCGTTCCAAGTGTCTGGACGACTCGTCTTCGCTACGAGCGAGCCAGGACGCGTCGAGAAGCGAGACGAACTTGTTTATCGTTCGGTTCGATACCCGCTACCAACCAGCCGGTCTTTATGGCTGGCGCTCCGAATCGAATTTACTCTCGCGATCGAATTCCACTTGGATCGAGCAACGGGACTCTAGTTTCCACGAGCCCGGCCGAGGAACGCCGAGACCAACGCAGCCGGACGTCGCGAGGGAACGTACGTACGCCTCGCACGAGCGCATCGACGATCTCGCTGTGCACCAGGTAAACTTTGCTTCGCTTGTTTCTTGTTCCGCTTCTTGTCATTCGACGATGCTCATGCGATTGTACGTGGAAACATGTTGTGTAATATACTTAAATGTCGAGGAATAACGTAGTACAAGTATTCATCTTTCTATTACCGGAAAAACTTGTTCATAAATCTGATTTTTATACACCATCTCTTAAAACTGTCGAGCACGAAATGAACAAGGAGATAAATAAAATCGGCAAGAGCATCGACTGTACTCAAAAGACAAAGAACGTTGACAATGCATGCACACGTAGATAGAGTTGATGAGCATGCTGAAATTAAACGATTCCATTGCGTACATGGAAGGTTGTACATAGGTAGTCATAGTGCATGTGTTTCCACTTTCCATTCTCTCTTCGTCTTTCTGTCATCGCTGTTATTCGCTTCAGTGTAGCCTGGATAGAAATCGAACTCGCTCGTTCGTGGGACTTGTTCGAAAAACAGGAGATCGGTATCGATAAAAATCGAAATGGACGAATACGTTTAGGAATCGAAATGGAGAAAAATGAAAGGAAAGATCTTTGGCGGCGATCTCTGCCGAGGGTGCTTTAATGCGAGCTGTTTTGTTTTTTTTTTAACCGGATTTCTAGGCTGGTCTGAATGGGGTGAAACCTGCCATCCCCCCGAGAGATCAAAAGAGGGCACCTGCCAGACCCCCAAAAGATACTCTACGTCTGTCGACGCAGAACAATAATGTGGAAACCACCGATTATGCGAATGCCGAGCCCACGCAGCAGCAACTGCATTCCATTAGGAAGTACCAGGTACGAGACATCGCCTTCATTTATTATTTTTTCTCGCCAAAATGAACAGTTCGACGATAAATTAACGTTGCCAGTAAATTCCAATAAATACAGACTTCCTCATCTTCTCTGTTTGATTTACTACAAAATATATTCTTGTAAATGATTAGAATAAAACTATGTCGTTTTCTTCATAAGTATAGCTTTATACGCGGTACTGTTTCACCAAACAAATGAAGACATTTGTCTTTGGCTTTATTAGTTTATTATTTATCATTATAAAATCTGATAAAAGTACATTTTAATTCATCAAAATAAAAAAATGTTTAATGATCTTCATCGTAGCTACAATGAATTTATACGCAATACTTCTTTTATAAAATAATATTGATACAGTCACATTAGATGCTTCCACATGCTTTAAAGATAAACGTAGGAAAGTAGAGAACGATGATTGAAATTGAGGCGTTTTCGGTGGGTGTGCAAAAAGCGTATTGAACGCGGGAAACGCGTGGTATTCCGCATGAATAATTTAGCGTGTTGTGTAACAATGTAAAACGACTGATCGTTGTTTAAGAGGTGGTACCCAGCCACGGTTGTCCAGGTTCCAACAGGAAATTACGAGGCCCGAGCACACAATTGTTGTTATCCAACAGCGGTCGCTTGGATGGCTCGCTGTGTGCCTCTCGTTTATAGTTTTTCGAGTTTCCTATTCCACGTCAACGACTGGCGATGTTCTAAAATCGAGGACGAAGTTAAATTGAAAATGATACGGTCTACGGTCGAAGTAAAATTTCGGTATATTCGATAGAAATGAAATGTAGAATTCAAGAAATAATTTTTATATGATACTAAAATAGTATTTAGTTAAATAATTAAAAAAGAGACATTCGTTTTCTGATTTCACTTTTCCTGATTCCACAAGAATTAAAATTATGCTCGGTGTTAACGACCGATGAGAAATGCTATAAACGCGTCTAGCGTTTGAACATTTATCGCGTCTCTGTATTTAAGTCATGTATGGCTTGGAATGTAAGAAAGCCCGAGGCTACTACAATAATTTAAGATTAGACGGCAGGACTGTTTCGATAGGTGCGTACAGGCTACCACCGGGTTGTGAGTCAGGCTGCGCTTTTCTTTTTTTCTTCTCCGCCCTTTTTTCCCTGACCTCAGTCTCTGTCGCTGCGTCTTCTGACTTAGGAAAGTAGCATTTTTTCTTCAGTCTTTTCCCTTACTGAGAACCAGATACTTTACCGTAAACGCGCCCGTGCCTCTGGAATTGTTCGTTTCTTCGGTGAACGATAACAAGCCCCACATAACTTTGGTATTGCGTTTATTCCGGCCTGGAAGAATTCTTGTTAGTCGTCTCTTATGATTTTCCCTCTTTGAATTTCTTTGTCGTCAAAAGCACAGCACGACGCAAAGTGTAATACCACCAAGGAGGAATTACTAAAGAATGGCAGGACTTTGTGCGCACTCAAAAGACTGCAAGTTTTGACGTCGTCTAGAATATGTTGCCATCGAAGTAAGAAATAGAAAGCAAAACAATTGTCGATGCTGAACCGATCGTATAATCTACGTTAAACGAGTAATTGGCGATGAATGAAATAATTAATCGATTAGTCTTTTGAACTATGCAAGATAAAAGAAAAATTGTACACGATCTTTTTTCCATGTAATAGCAGTACCTACAACTTTTATTTGAAGCATTCTTCGATATTTCGAGGAAAAAAAATTTTTCGATTTTTCCGAGATTTTTCCAAGGGGTACCAGATTTTGCGAAATTTTCGTTTTTTGCCAATAACTCCCAAACCGTTTGACTTACGGAAAAATTGCATCAGACCTTTCTTGTAGAGGACGACGAGATCTACAATTTCCATGTAAAAACTTTTCGCTAGTATCGATAGTTAACGAGTAATTTGCAAAAAACTGTTTTTTCGTTTTTTGCAAATAACTCGTAAACTATTGGCGCTAGCGAAATGTTTTTATACAGAAATTGTAGATCTCGTCGTCCTCTACAAGAAAGGTCTGATGCAATTTTTTCGTAAATTTAACAGTTTAGGAGTTATTGAGGAAAAACGAAATTTTTTGTCAAAAGTTCGCTGATTCGACGGTGGAATGGTCGGATTTTATCAGTACCCATAAAATGCCGATTAATCATAGTCAACTCGTTAAATATCGAAGTTAGAAGAAAAAGAACTTTTATTTGAAGCATTTTTCGAAATTCTGCGGAAAAGAAAATTTTCCGAGATTTTGTCAAGAGAAAAGGGTCACGTACCCATAAAATTCTGATTAATTTTACTTAACTCGTTAAATACTGGAGTTAGAAGAAAAATGCATATTATAGGCCATATATATGAGATTAAACTGTATACGACTGTGTTTGCTCAATTTTCTAGCGAGCTACCAGAAATCAGTCAAGTAGGTAAGGAGCTGACGCTCGGTGAAGCCGTATGCGCGCGTACCCGCGATGGTAAATGGGGCTTCGTCCAAGTATTTCTGCATCGGGAATAATACTGTAGAGTAGTAGACCATTCGGGTTACATAAATCGGTGAATCGTCTCCGAAACGATTCTTGCGTCAACGACAGGCTTTATCGGCCGGTGGGCGTTGATCACCGCTGATGGTCATACATGCTTCTGGCTGATTGCAACTCAATGCCCAACAGCCTGCAGTTTAATTACGATATATCATTCAAACAAGATTTTTTGTTTTCAGAGTATCAAAAGAGCAATTGTCAAGCATCTGAATTTGTTCTGCTCAATTGTTATTTTCCGTTAGGCGTAAAAGTTTTGTTAGCTTCAAGCTGAGATTGAAGTCGAAATGCTTGCTTGATGTTAGTCAGAATGTTTGCTGTTATATGTTTAAATACGATTAAATGGTGAAACGGAATTGTCGACGTCAGAGTTTCTTAAATTATTTGTATTTGTTAAATGTGTCAATATCATGGAAAGCTCAGAAAGGTGTACGAGGTAGGTTCTGCATGAGTCGTGACACGAACACGTCGCGCATAAATCTGAGTCACAATCAGCGCAACGCAGAGCTCATAATATCGTTCATTTTATTTATTATCGATGTTTTGAATGGCGCACAAGTCTTCCCGTTTACACAACCATTCCCCGAAAATTATTACACAAGCCCACGCAGTTCGACGAACGAGGTAAGGCAATCAAGTTTCGTCCCCAGATCGAAGATTGCGTTCCGGGTTTCATCGTATCTGGCAACGATATGCGATGTCATTACGAAGAGAGATATCGCTGGTCGTCTATTTTTCATAGCCATTTACGTGATTGATTTTTATTATCGTGTATTACGTATGAACATTTGTTATTTGTTTCTAAAATGCATAACGTTGATTTATAATTCCTAAATTCTCATGAATCCGCGTTTTGTTGAGACATAATTGGATAAATTCAAACGTAATTGATACACTTATTATTTAAGGATTATAACAGAATTGTTATCTCCACGTTTCCAGGACTCATTAAGGTGCAGCACAGTGAGACGTTCGTAATCAAACAATTTGATTATAGGAGCAGCTGCGTAAACGGAAGGATGAGGAGGAGAGACAAGAGATACTCCATCAGTCGCTGCGTGGCTCGAGGAAGCTTCAGGCGTTGGAGAGTCATGCGACGAGCCTCTCTGGACAGGAGAATCTGGCATATGCCCAGGATGAGGTGACCACCGCCACCGTCGGCCGCGGTGCCCACGTAACCCCGAGCATCGTGCAAGAAGTCGAGGAGCCTCCCAGGCCCCTCAGTAAGTCACATTTTCCCTCGGGACTCACATTCTGCCCATTCAAGAGCCACTCGACTTGATGGCCGCGCTAACGACACTCGTTGCGGCCCATTAGTTTTCTATTTAGGATCCGATAATTCCTCGTCGGCTTCTTTTTGAAATCCAATCGTTCTGTGATACGTTCGTGCGTTTGACTCGACACACGATTGCCCACACTCATCGTTTTAGAATTTCATATATGAAAAAATCTATCTTTGATACATCATGCTCAGTGCAATGGTTGATTAGTTAGATTGAGAAAGCAGAAAAGATAATTGAATAAACTTAAGAAAAGGTCGATGAAAAGTTCATCAAAGAATCGTCTAACAGAAGATCCTTGCATATTTCAGCGTACGGAGAGGTCGTTGCGTCGTTGGAGAGGCTACAGCTTCAGCTGCGGAATATTTCCGGCGCTTTAGGCATATCGGGGCCCGGCGTCGAGGCCGAGCTGGAAGCGGTGCGAACGCTCTTGGTGCAGAGTCGATTCGCGTCTGCCCTTGCTACCCATCATCTCCTTAGAAATCGTTTGAGATCCAGCAAGGTTTTGAAACATCATGCCGATGACGCCTCCAGTTTGGCACGAGATGTACGTATAGAAACTTTATTAGAACATTTTGTTTATTAAGTAAGAAATCAGGTAACGTCGAAAATTGATATTCCAATGGGTTTGAAATCGATTTTGAACCGCTCCGACAGATATTCAGCAAGCCGCGAATTCGGTTTGCTTAGCAATTGAATTCCCAACGAAGAGCAAGTAAACGGTGGTAAGGTTTGCCAATGTTATTTGAATATTTCAGTGCGTGGATATTCTCGAGAAATGGCAGTCTTCGTCGACGGCAACAGGTGTTGGCGCTGCGGAAACAATCGCTGCCGTGGAGGAGCTGACCGGAATCCTGACGAGCTACGACATGGAAGCTTTGCTACTTGCCCATGATTCCATCATCTCGTACGTCGACGGATTACAGAAGAAGCAGAGTCCATTGTCTACGTCGCCGAGCGGTCCACCTAGCCCGACTACAAGTTGGCGAGGCTCCCGCGCCGTGGATAATATTAAGATCATTAGAATCGAGAAGACCAATGAACCCCTAGGTGCTACGGTTAGAAATGAGGGTGACGCCGTTATTATAGGTAAGGATTTTCAACACCGGATTGTAACAATGGATTTTCCATTTTTAATTCGAATTTATTTGATAGGTCGCGTGGTACGTGGAGGAGCTGCAGACAAATCCGGATTACTGCACGAGGGCGACGAAGTCTTGGAAGTGAACGGCGTGGAGATGCGTGGTAAAAGCGTGAATGAAGTGTGCGACATTCTGGCCGGTATGCAGGGTAGTTTGACTTTCATCGTTCTACCGGCGCCCACGAGTCATAGGAATAATTTGAGGAGAGAAGACACTAATCAGGTATCGTTTTCGTTTCTTCAAAGCATATAAATCGTAGGATAATTTTAAATCAATTTGTCGATGTCCTTTTAGATACAACACATACGAGCCCATTTCGACTATGATCCCGTAGAGGATCCTTATATACCCTGCAGAGAGTTGGGAGTTAGTTTCCAGAAGGGTGACGTGTTGCACGTGATCTCTCAAGAGGATCCCAACTGGTGGCAGGCGTATCGAGAAGGCGAAGAGGATCAAACCTTGGCTGGTTTAATACCTAGTAAATCTTTCCAAAATCAGTACGTTGGTTACCTTCCGTTAACTTTTTAATCGAGTTCAATTTCCAAAGCATTTAATAAACCGATTGATTTCGTGTAGACGGGAGTCCATGAAGCAGACTATTGCCGGTGACAAGTCCACTGTGCGAGGTTCCAAGAAATCTAGCACGTTATTATGCACCGGTAAGAATCCAAAGAAAAAGAAACGTAACAAGTTCGGAGCGAACTACAACGACGACGGCTACCCGCATTACGCAACGACTGCCATCGACGGTAAATATTTTTTAGAAGATTAGACGAAGCGCATTCACCTTTACTTGTTCGCATTTGATCAAACGTTTATCTTTCCCAGATTACGACAGCGAAGAGGTGCTCACGTACGAAGAAGTCGCGTTGTATTATCCGAGAGCAAATCATAAAAGACCGATAGTCCTAATAGGACCGCCAAACATCGGGCGGCACGAACTCAGGCAAAGGCTAATGCAAGACAGCGAGCGTTTCGCTGCTGCTATTCCTCGTAAGTGTCAAAATCGAGATTCCTCTTATTAATGTTCTTGACTGTAACGATTGTACTGTTCCAGACACGAGTCGTCCTAGAAAAGACTCCGAGGTTGACGGCCAAGATTACCACTTCATCTCTCGTGCTCAGTTCGAATCGGATATTCTCTGTCGAAAGTTCGTCGAACATGGGGAGTACGAGAAAGCGTATTACGGCACTTCCGTTGAGGCTATACGGTCTGTAGTCAACTCCGGGAAGATTTGCGTGCTCAATCTCCATCCGCAGAGTTTGAAAATCCTACGAAACTCAGACTTGAAACCATATGTAGTGTTCGTGGCTCCACCGTGCCTCGAGAAGCTCAGACAGAAAAGGATCAAGAACAACGAGAGCTTTAAGGAGGAGGAATTGAAAGATATAATAGAGAAGGCTCGGGAGATGGAGGACAAGTATGGCCATTTGTTCGACATGATCATCATAAATACCGACACGGACCGAGCTTATAATCAGCTTCTGGCCGAGATCAATTCGCTGGAGAGGGAACCGCAGTGGGTACCTGCGTCGTGGGTGCAGTAAAGGATACGTTGACAGTGACCGAGAGAGAGGGAGAGAAAGGAAGAGAGGCGGCTTTCCAAAGTCTGGTCGGAATAATTTCCAAGGACTGGTTCTTCTATTGGTGCCTATTATACAATTTACGTTTCGTACACATTACGCGTAACTAAAAAGAAAGAAAAAAAGAAACCCCTTGCCAGGTTATCGTACTCCAAGTACCACTGGTTTTGGTGTAGTCTTCCGTGTCGTAATTTGGTGCCATCTGACCGTACTCGAGGATCGTCGCAAACGGAGTTGGGTTCGAATCGAATCAACGGATGTGAAACGAAATTATCATTTCATATAGACAAATAAGGTCTTATGGAAACGAAACTGTTGCGATCAACGATTTCATAGGCGATCAGCTAATTCGGAAGTCGACTTAGAATCCGCATTTGTTCGAATAAAGTGTGCCTCACTCTGATCGTCGACAAACGTTTTAAAGAGTGTCGAAAATTCTCGCCTCGTAAATTTTCGTTCCTCGACTCTCGAACTCCAGGATGCCACTCCAGAAGAAAGGAATCAAGAACAGGAGTCCTTGGATCAACTGGCGTGGTGCTTTTTACCCATCATTTCAAAGCGAGAGGACACTTCGCGTGATTCGTATTCTACGGATAAGATAATTACGCAAGATGTTAAAAAATAACGTTTCCCCAAAGATGTGTAAATTTCACAAGAGATCGTCCACCTCCCACGCGTTTACAGATTACAAATAAAACCGGAAAACCGCGGATATCTTGGACGATCAACATCCTTTTTCACCCTTTCGTAAAATAAAACAGCCCCGAAAGACTTTTTCTCTCGCAGTTTTCACGGATAATGAAAACAAAAATGAAAAAAAAAATGTGCGTAATACACAAACGCCTGCCGCGTATCCCCTCAAGTCGAGAATGTTTTGCCAAAACGTTGTTAAACAATTTAAACATAAATCACACATTTCCTCGTACTCGTAACTTTCGTGTGAAACTAGTAAATCTCGGAGATGCCGGATGAAACTCATAAACTCTATCTCATCGTCCGCCTTAGGCACTCTCTCGTGTTCGTTTAGAGATGAGAATCATACTTCTAATCCAAGTAGACCGTCGTTTAAAGATACAGTTGTAGACGTGTTAGGCTCGCGTGCGAAAAACAGGCATGAAAAACAGATTTTTCGATCGGGACAAATACTAATTTTTCTTTTGCTCTTCTATTCGAGCGAACGTGAAAGATTTTTCATGTATTGTTATCATTCACTTCTTTACATAGTTATAAATGTGGAATTCCTTGTGCCGAAAATTCTCCGTTGAAACGAGATATTGTTTTTCATGGTTTCGAAGACAAGAAAATAAAAAGACAAACAGGAATCGGGTTTTTCAGTCCAGAGGAAAAAATTTTTAGTTGATTCACAATCGTCGATACAATTTCGGTATCGCAAAACTTAGGAACGTAAGAATAATTTCTAATTTTTGTAGCCATTATTTTGAGACAAAAGTATTTTAGGAAATACGCACGATGGTCGGAGTATTGTGCCAATGTAATTAGGCCGCGTATTCAAACATGGCCTTATTACCGAAATCTTTCTTTTTTAATCGTTTTGGATACTGTAGTTACATCGAGGCTTGGATGAAGCTAAATTCATATTTCAATCTGTCGCTATCTAATATCATCTCTGAACTGTTTAAGTTGAACGAGATGAAAATTTATTTTCACTTTCTGAATGTTACGACTCATACTTAGCGAATTTTTATAAACGGGTCAAAGAGGATAAAAGAACTGAAATGTGCCAAAATAATCTGTCCCGAATGTTTAAAGAAAACCATCGCATAAAGAAGAAGGGAGGCTGAGGAAGAATGAGAGAAAATAAATTAGAAAACACGCTCAACGCGGCACCTTCGCATCTGTCATTATAATTGAGTCTGTAAATATTTGTGCACTTGTATAGAG